ACCCAAGCTCATGCAGAAAGGCCTCTTGAAGCCCAAGACCTACGACACTGCAGACCTGTCAAATCTAATTCATAACACATGCTTAGCAGTTCTTAAGGGAGAGGAAGGATCTGATGCCCTAGCTCCCCACCATCCCCCTGTACAAAGGGACCATTTAATGACTGCACATTAGCCATGTGGACAATTAGCATTCACATGGAAGATAAATGGCAGCATAAATTAAATATTGCCAAGCGAAAGAGCAAAGATGCAAGATCTGAGCTCAAGGCTGTAAACAAACAAACAGGCAAAAAGGAACAAACAGCCACTGCGACAGCTAAGCCATTTGGGAGAGTTACCTTCCGGCATCTGGGACTTTCCCCAGGGCTGAGCTGCACGTTTGCATGGCTACTGCCCATACCTCACTGGCTCCTGGCTGATTCTTTCTACTCAGGAGTTTGGGCTTCAGAGTGGCTTACCTCAGTGGCTCTAAACTTCTGCCTGTTTGTGGATCTGTGTATCAACAGCTTCCCTCTGCAACATGCACCCCACAGGAGCTCTGGGGGAACACAAGCCCAAGCAGCTCCCACTCTACCCTTTCCCAAAGTGTAGAACGCTCCTTTTTTCCCATGGGCCAAGGCCAGCTGCTCCTAACCTTACCATACCATTTCTAGCTCTTCTTCTTGCAAACTTTTATCAATTTCTAAGCATCAGAGACACAAGGACTGAGACTGTCCTTAGCCTTGATAACAAGCTGAAGGGCAGGGGACACTATCCTTCTTTGTTTGGGTATCTATGCAAGGCCATTATCAATATTAATTCAATACAGATTTGCAATATGCCTCTCAGGTATGCAACTATGAATGACCACTGCAGGGCACAGGAAATAGAAAACCAAAACCCCTCCCAAAAACCCAGAGCCAAAGTAAATTATAAGTAAACAAAAGCTACTGACTGAACACAGACATTCCCCAGCCTGCCCAAGCAGTCACTCTTAGTGCATTGACAGCTCAAGTTTATCAACAGCTGGAGGAGTCAAAATTACTTTTGCTGTGAATCTACAGAACATGAATAACTAAAAGGTAGAGCATAAAAGTGACAGAAACATAGGGATTGCCAAATGGGATCACACTAAACAGTCTTTCAAACTCAGTCAGTGGCTAGTAGCAGATGCTTTGGAGGAAGGAAACCCCCTCCCACACCTCCCTGGGGATAATTATCAATTATTCTGCTTAGAAAGAGAATGTTTTCCTACTTCCATATTTCTTCCAGTTCTTGGTAATGCATTAGAAAGTGTTTCCCTGCATATTTTTCCCGATAAGCATTTTATTGCTTTGTCCACGTTGTTCATTACTTTGAACTAAAATGACACAGATCACACGCTGATCTGAAAGAACTTCTTGAAAGCGAACAAAGCTCTCTACACAAATCCCAAGGTGACAGCAATCATCACACAGTATCACACACTAGAAAACTGAGAAACAGGGGCTTAGAGACTTGCAAAAATCAGTATTAGAACACAGTCTCCTTGACTTCCCATTCTGTGCCTAAGAAGCCCGGGAAGGACAGATAAATAGGGCGATGGACCTTACACTCACACTGAGCATATGCCACTCATCACATAAAAGTTTGGACCAGTAAGATTTCTTTCAGCCTTGCACCAGTGTGGGGAATTGAGGCACACAACTCTTCTGTCATGTTCTAGCTCTCCTCCTTGCACATCAGTACTAATGCTTTTTCACTGATTTTCCCAAACCGTAAGAAGCAGCTTTTGGTAAAGTTGAGGGTAAGCTGTTGGGGGAGCGGATGAAGGAATGAGGGGGAAGGGTGCTGTCAGTTTCATACCTAAAAAACCGAGACATTGACAAATGTATCTTATTCAAAGGCAAAACAAAGGCAGCCCCCTCAAACTACTGGGTGCGTATTTCCTTGACATCCCTGCTAGGAGCCACTGGGAGGCTGCTTGATGATGGCAGGCTGGGCATCTCTTCTTTTCCCCCCCTTTCCTTGCCACCTCCTCCCCACAGGAGCAGTAATGGAAAAGTGACTTGCTGCAGAGATAATGCTGGGTTTGAAATGAGTTTCTGACTAGCTGAGCCAGCACCCGTGTGAGCTGTGGCTGATTAGCTCCAAGCATCCAGGTCCCAATCACTCACAACTGAGCCCGGCAATCACACCAGCCTCTGCAAGGCAAAGACAGGGTGGAGGCAGCATCCCTGAAAAGGATCTCAAGGCAAAGGGAAAATCCTACTCACGTTTGTGGTTTTCGTTTCTGTGGACAGGAGAAGAGCGGGTCTCCTGCTCACGAGCTTCATCACCCTCTTCGCTGGCAAGGTGAGTGTGAGCATAGTGGTAGCTCAGCCCAGGCCTGTTCTTGTAACGCTTGCCACAGACTGGGAAGAGAGAAGATACGAGGGAGGGGAAGAAAGAATGGAAACATCAGTGTGATCTACAACCACAGCAGCATCCTGTCAAAGAGTGCTCCCTTTTCCCCTGAGAACAGCACCACACAAACCATGCACCTGCCCAAAACTCTTCCAGTTGGCACTGGTGAAAGGTGACAGAGGGCAGCCCTGCGGCCGCAGGTCTCTGAACAAGCTTTCTTCCCACCACGCTGTCAGCAGTTCTTCCTACAGGCCTAGGCAAATACACATTCAGTCCCTGCAGCTCATACAGCCCTAATCCTCTCTGCTAAAGATTACTAACAAGATTGTGCATAAAATTAAATGAAATGCCAGTTCCGATATTGGTGCTGCACAATGCACAGCAATGAGAACAGGACTGAGAAGAAAGGGCAATATTTTCTTCATTACTGGTCATAGAAAAAGGAAAAAGGTCATAGAAAAAAGGAAAGTTTTATTTTTTTTAAGACTTTCTATAAAAGGTTAATAAATAGCTTTATTTGCAGATTCCTAGTCAAGACGAGGAGATGAAAAACATCCAGTTTCTTGCTAAAAGAACGTGTGATAGTGTTACTCATTTGCCCAGGTAAACTTCATGTTCAGCATCCCAATAAATAGTACAATGTGTGACAGAGAATCCTACTTCTGAACTTTTGTTTATTTTAGTACTAAGTCAACAGATATTAATGACAGGAGCAAACAACTCAGAATGATGAAAGGTCTACATTTTCACAGGGAGCTCACCGCAAGGGCAAACTTCGTAATGGGATTCATTACATACAAATTGAGTTTCTATAAAGTTTTTAATTCATGTTATTGTCTCTAAAAGTTATCACTTTTCATCTTCAAAGCATTCCCTGAATGTCCATTTTCTTTTACACAGCTATTTAGCCTACCAAATACAACTATTGCCATTTTACAAGATTAGTGCCTTTCCTGCAAGTTTTCCCAGCCACATTTTCCGTCACTTTATTACTTTCATTAACCTCAAGGATTTCACTCAGGAATAAATACCATGTGCAGTAGTCTGTCCTGCATAACTTTCTTAAAAGGGCAAAGGCGGTGGTGCCAGAAGAGAGAACAGAACCCTGTCTTGTTTTCAGACACCCTGAAAAAAATCTCCAAGGCGAAAGTCACCATTCACTCCTAAAAACTTCACTCAGCCCCAATACGGAAAATGTATCCTGCAAAATATATAGCTACTTACTTCCCATTCCTCAGACACCTGACTCTGGGAATGTCATAAGGCTCCATAAATATATTTTAAAGAAATACATATTTAAAAAAAGACCCACCCCAATTATTCATTTACATATAAATAAAACTTCCATTATTATACCTTTCTGCTACTACTTACAAAAAGCCAACTGATGTTCCACATTCTGGAACAGATTATAGAAAATTGTAAATCAAAACAATAACATATTTCATTCTCAATCTCTTCTAGCTGATTTGCAATCTCCCTCAAGGAAAATACTTTGCCTTATTAGAATCATGTAAAACAACATCATGATATGTTGCATGAGTGATCTGGAATATAAGACACTTTTATCCCACTTTTCTTCATTCTGCAAGGTGATGATCACACAGTCATCACAACAGGACAGAAGTTTTTTCAAATGCAGTGTGTCCTTAGCCACATGTTTTTAAAGTCTTTGAATGCCCTTGATTTAGATTTGAAAACTCCTGCAGAAGGGAGTAGGGAATGTTGAGGAGACATAAAATACTCATATATATATGTACATCCATTCTTTGAAGCACGTGCCCTCATTTCATGGGTAAACCTAACTCTATTGCCAAGTATTTTGAACCACTAGGCTGCTGTTAGACGCATGTTCTCCACAAAACATCAGTTCACTCTCACTTCTACTACCATTCATGTTTTCTAATGCATTCTGGACGGGGAGACTAGTCCTCCTTCTCTGTGGTCCTACAGGACAAAGGACAAGCAGTGTAACAGATGCTGACCAAGAGTCAAAACAAGATGATATCCCCAGTTCTGTATGACTTTGTCTCCACTTTTTGAATAGTAAAAAAAGCATAACACTAAAATAATGATCAAACCAGAGAGAGCTACAAAATATTCACTGCTCAACTTATTACAGAATGGTAACCCTCTCCAAGTAGACAAATGTTGCAGCATTCCTTAGAATGGAGAGATTTACATTTCTAGTAGATTGAGCATCATACTAAGTATCCTACTCTATCCCCCTTACTTTTGTGTGTTTGAAGATGAGTGTTAAAATATCATTCAACTGCTATGAATTACCAATACTGCTCAAACACTTCTGTCAAATTATTTCCAGAACATATATTTTCAGGTGATCAGCGTTGTACTGACAAACAAGGAGCTACTTGGAGTTAAATATCTGAGTGATACATACAATCCAACTCTATCTTGCTCTCACATAGCTTGATCTTGTGTTAATGCTAACACAACTGCAAAGTCAGATAAGCTCTAACACCCAGTCCCATTTACCTATTAAAGGAAGTTTAAATTTCAAACCCAAAATATTTCTAGAAGCTCCTCCAGACTAAATTACATTAAACTCTACTTGAAAATATACCCACAATTCTAGCTCTGCTGTTGTTACATTACAAAAGCACCATGTCCTCAAATACAGGTCTCATGCATCTTTGCCTCTCAATGCACAAAAGGAAATTTACATTCCCTGCAGGAAGTCCCCAAACTGTGGCCTTGACTCTATTCATTACAGGATCCTGCAGGGATTTTAGCTGCAGAGTGTAGGATGACACAGACCAGCTGGGTCTGCAGACTTGCCCTTCTCCAGCAAAAATTACCAGCTCACCAGGAAATAACAGCAAGCATGGATATAAACTGAGCTGGTAGTGATACTGCAGCTGAGCCATTCACACTGCCAAGAGTCTTTCAGGTGGCCTTCAAGAATGACAGCAATTTGAGATATGCCTAGCTAAAAATGAATTTGGGGGACTTTACAACCAGAGTTGAAGTAAAGGAAGTCTGTTTACACCGTTCTAGCAGATCCTTTGTAGGACCAAAGACTTGCAGTTCCAGCACCTTTTTTTCTTGGTGTCTAGACTTTTCCATATTTCAAACTCGTGTTCTGTCATGGAAAAATTCCAAAGCAATGCCATGAAATGAAACTGTAGAGATTTCCTATCCCTCAAGCAAATTAGCCTTTTGCAGGGGGGGAAAGGGTGTAATGATATTAGTTAGGCAAAAGAACCATTGGCTTCAGTAAGACTTTGCTAGAATGAAAGCTAAGTCAGAACTTCATGATTTCTCCAACAGACTAAATCTTCCTGAATTCAGCCTAGTCTCTTATTTTCCAGATAAGAGCACATTTTATTAATCTACCATATCTCTGTACTAAGAAGTAGTTTCTATAAAAGGGTGATCATTAATAAACATTTAGCTCTTACATAACTCTTCCCACTGCAAGACTGGTTTTTCAAACATTAATTAATCTTCCTCCACATTCCTGAGTGGGAAATACTATTCTCGTTTCACTTCTGAAAAAAGAGAACCAGAGAGGGGATAAGTGAGTTGCCCACACAGTGATCTTTTGTCATTATCAGGACTGGAATTCATGAGTTCCAGCATCCACACCAGTGCTTACACCACATCTTTCTCATTCTCTGAGCTGACAAAAGCATAATGAGAACTGGTTCTCCCAGTCTGAAATGTGTGCTGCTCATTAGTTCTTAACGCTATGCAGCTCATACATAGCAAGTGAGACGGCCTTTCATAAACTTTGCTAGGTGGCCTTGCCTTTCTTTCAGCAGCTTTGACTTTTTTATCTTTAATTTTCCTTGCTGGATAGGCTCATCATCCTTGCATGTGGTAGATTTCATCCCGAATCTCAAGAATGGGAAGTTGACTTGATCTTTAATTAGGTAGACAAACCCAATGAAAACAGCAGGAGTTTGTAGAACATAACCCACTCCAATTCCTCCTGCATTCAAAGGATATTTTTGTGCTATAACCTAATGTGAATGCTCTTTTAGGAACAAGCTAGGTAAGTAAGCAGTAATACAGCAGTGCAGTTCAAATGCCACAAATGGGGAAGAGGGAGAAGCCACCAGACACTCTCTGGTGATGAACCTTACTTGCCTTCCAATTTGAAGTCTGAAATGAAGATGTTCCACAACTGCGTTACGGATGGGGAAACATAATTTGCAGACGGTATAATCAGAAGCATTGAGTGTTTAATAAAAGAGAGTTCTTTTCTAAGTTCCAGCCTGTAACAGCCTGCAACTCTTGGGATAAGCAAATTTTCACTCTGTTTACATTTCCCGATGAGTAAAATTAATGTAAAATACTTCCTCTGCTTTAAAAGAGGATTTGAATTCTATGACTTAAAAGACTTCCTTGTCAAATATCTAATGGCTGTGTTGCTGTCATTTTGAAATTGTTACACATTTGGTCCTTGGCAGCCTGTGAGCTATGTTCCAGCCAACTCTCTACATATATTTTGCACAATCTGTCACCAGTATGAGACAGAAGGAAACAATCCATGTTTTCAGTGGAAACAGGAAATTGGGGGAGTACATGCTGCTTTTTTTTGTCACTGAATCTTGCCCCCTTCATTGTCTTTCTTTGCTTTTCTCCTTTTCCCCTTGTTCTTTCTTATCAGCTGGGGTGTGTCAAATGCTAAATCTTGAGTTAACTGCTGGCAGGCAGTCATTCCTCAAAGTTATCTTCCTGTCCTACCATTTGCTCCTCTCCAAAAAAAAGAAAAAAAAAACATTCAAAACATTCCTTGTTTTGCATTGGTTTGGTAATACAATCTCCCCTGTTACAGTTATGTCCACACTCTGGGACATCTAGAGATCTCAAACACCAGCAATGTCTTTTGACCTCCACTGACAGAAAGGCATTCCATTTGCTCCTCTTTGCTCAGTACTGTCATGCTATATGTCTCTAGTATTAGAGCAGCTCTTTAGTAACTCATTTCATAGGGGATTTTCTCTTGGTAGGAAATAGTCCTTGTTTCAGTGCCCCCAGA